GTAATGGTGCTGGTTTGGGTTTCCGAACTCGATTTTGTTGTGCTAGATGGTAGTGTGCTTGTCGATGCGAGCGGTGTAGTTGTCGAAGGTTCTGTTAAAATGGTGCTTGTTTGGGATGTCGACGTCGATGTCGTTAATGTAGTAGCCATAGGCGTTATAGAAGGTTCTATAGTTGTCGAACCCAGTGCCATGCTGGATGGAAGTGTGCTTGTTGGAGTGAGCGGTTCACTTGTCGGAGTTTGCGGTTCAATTGTCGGGATTTCTGCTGTAGTGATGTTTGTTAGAGATGCCGATGTCGATGCCGCTAATGTAGCAGCCGAAGGTACTGATGTTGTTGATACTGGCACCACCTCTGTCGGTGTAACCACAGTCGCTGCGCGTGTTGGAGGTGTACTTACTGAAGATGGAAATGACGATGTCGATTGGTGTGAAGCCACCGTACTTGTTGGAGCTTTTGTAGTCGTCTTCTCGGCTTCGTGACCTGAAGAAATAGCATTTATATAATAGCTCTCGTTCTTCATGTTGAGGAGGAACTGTGAACTCATGATTTTAGTGAAGTTGCTTATATTAGGCAGTTCTTCTCATTTATTGCGCACTTCGACACTATGATTTGTTCGAGAGCCTTCACTTCTAAGGCAGCCTTCATACTTCGCGACAGCAGCGGCGATCGCCGTACGCCACAGAGTGCGCCCCAATGCTATTGCTTGGACCACTGCTCTGATAAATAAGTCCAACTTCTGAGACCTTTTTCTCCCACTAACTAGAAACTTTCTCTAATTAAAGGATCTGGAATGTGAAGAGGGGAGGGTTTCCACCTCTTACTGGTTATGAGGTTGGTATGAGGGAAAACTCCATTTAATAGGTGGGTTTCATTATGTTAGACTCATTCGATTTCCTTCACTTTGTCAAATGCACCTGGAGGAATGATAACCGTTTCGTCCTTTTTTGATGACGTTTATCGTTGTTGTTAGTTTTATGTCTCCGTACCAATGAAAGAGGCCCCTCCTGCTAACATGGGAAAGTACGAACTTCAACAGGTGAGAGCAATAACCCAATACACAAATCTAAGAAAAACCGCCCAGGGGCACAGCGTTCGATGGGGATTCCCTATGGGGGGGGGTCGTATGAGGCCGCCAAAAGGGGGGTCGTATTTGGGCTGGGAAAAATTTATTTTTATAGTTGATTTTTCTCGCTTTGCGGACGTTTTGGAGGGGGGTCGTATTTGGTCGTTGTTGGGAGGGGGGGGTCGGTCGTATTCCGTCTGAAGGAGTGACGTGGATTCACTTCATGGTTTTATGAATTCTTCCGAGCTGAAAGGGGGGGGGGGGGTTTCGTACCGAACCTCAAAAAAAAGGGGGGGGGGTCGTAAAAGCTCGACCAAAATCCCCATCGATTGCTGTGCCCTGCTAAGAAAGTAAAAAAATTTATTTGGCTGAAACGTGCCTATAGGGGTAATCACGATGTTCTGACACTTATTCTTGACGTCAACCCAATCTGGCGTCAGAATGGCCCTGCAATTCCCTCAAACAAATGCACATAGCGACTCCAGCGGGAAAAAGTCGTGACTCCAAATTGGGGATAAATGGCACTAGAGCTGAAAGTAAATGCCATAGTCGTGATCAGGGCACCGAATAACATATAAAGCTCAACTTTCAGACAAGTTCTTGCTTAATGGTATGTGAATTATTTTTATGGAAATTCGAAATTGCTGAATAGCACCGACTACGGGGTATAACTATTTAGGATGTGCCTATAAATGGCAGATATCCGAGTAAAATTCATTAACAGACATATATGGAAGCGACAACAACGGAAAATAAAAAATGCAAAAACATGCAAGCCGAGGGAAGTCGAACCATCATCTCCCACCCCACACTCCCTTACCACTTCGACTTGTTTAAGAGCCCATTCCAACTAGCCGTCGACTCTTAACTACGTGCCACAAGTAAGACCCAATTGGCGACTACGTAGGCACTTACTTCTCTCATCGATACCAGTGCAACCTCTATAAGGACCCTATAGGCAGCAATTGAACGAAGTTGCGAGTGATTTAGAGCCCACTCGGGCTCGAAAACAGTTAGGTTTCCATGACTTCTTTTTCACTCCATTTTTGGCATTCCCAGAGGCGTTCAGGAAAAATGAACACCAGTTTGGTACTCCATGCACGTGACCCCACATCATGCAAAAAACCGTTTTCAAAAAGCGCTCCACGTCCTGAACGACCTCCCTAGTAAGCGCATGAGCGGTTCCAACCCATACCAGGAGAGCGAGTCTTCCCGAACGTTTTGCAGGGCTGCTTCCAGGGGAGGCTGGGGAGCTCTCCCTGCAAGAAGTACTAGCGCTGGAGGCGCCAAAAAATGACCCCTCTTGCCATTTTTGACTTGTATAACCCCGTCAGCGCTAGTCCCTATTTTTTGAAGAGGTATGGCCCTCTTTTTTGAGAGGCATGGCCCTCATGTGTGTAAATAATGATGTGTTAAAAATGTGGG